TTGAAGAGACCGATCGACATTTTGTTGTTCCATGAGATGGCTTGATTGGCAACAGCTGTATTATTCAAGTCACTGCTTATATAGGCCAGGTCGGTGTGTTTAGTTCTGCACTGCTCTTGACTCTCCACCCAGGTTCTTCCTCCTGGGTAAAACACAAATGTCTCTGTTCCATCTGCCCGGGCTAAAGAGAGATTCAGGGATAGGGCACAAAAATACTTACGTTTTTTCATTAGCAAACGAAGCAGGGGTCTACTGAGCTCCTAAAAGGACATGGACGTAAAAACAACAACAACCTTTTCGTGCAAACAAGAGCTGTTTGTTTTCGGCACTGGAGTGCAACTATGACACACGTGTGAACAATCATTGAATCAATCGATCATATTGTACGTCTCTTCCCACATCACATATAATTAGATTAAAATATTGTAGTCTGTTCTGTGCGGAAGGCACGAGGTAATTTTAACCAAATAAATGCTTTTAAAATATCATTAAAATAATGTCCAAGTTTGAATTATAACTCAAATAATTCCTGTAATGTAATTTCCACACATTAACACAAGGTTCTGCAATTAACTGGTGGTCTCTTGTGTGCGCCATCCCCGCCGGTAACTTTCTTGTGAGCTCAATAACGCTTGTTGTGTCCATGTCCCCTTAGGGCCCGTAGGGGTCAAACAAGAAAGGGTTAAGAAAAACTGCTGTAAGCTATTGCTAACAACATCGGAAAAAGTAATGACTTCTGTTGTTACATCTGGATTTGTATTAACTCAGCCAAGGAGTTTGTGTTTGATATTTGCCAGCAGGATTACATAAAAAATACCCAACAATTTTCGATAAATATTGATTGAAGTTACAGCATGACCAGTTAAACCATTACATTTGGGATCTGATCAGAATCACACGGCTGATATTATTTTTCGGTTATGGAAACGCCCTCTTGGAGGTCCGAGCTCTCACGGTGCTCTTCTGATTTAAGATGTTTTTAAAGCTTATTTTATCACATCTTTAACATCTACTAAAAAAAGTGTGCAATTTGCTTACTTTCATAACACGCAAAATTGTTTCCAGATCCACACTGTACGTCATTCCACGTGCCTCCAACTAGCATCTCTCCACACGGTTCTCTCGCTCCACCGCTGCTCGGTTCACCAACATTCCACCTGGTATAGTGAGCTGGGCCCCTGCCATCGGACCACATCCACCTGCGAGTGTTTCCTCTTCGAAGCCCGATCCAGCTGTATGTCCCATGACTGCCAAGAGTGTTGCCCAGATCGTTCTTGTCGCTCATGTTGTTCACCGTGGCCAGGTCGGTATACATTAATCTGCAGAAGCTCTGAGCTTCATACCAGGTCAGGGAGCCGTTGATGAGGTGGTACTGCTGAGAGGCTTTGGGAGAGGTTTAGGTGGTTAACAAGTTAAAAAAGAACAGAAATATTTATATACACATCACAAATGATATCAAAAAGGAGGAATAAGGGTGTTCAGAAGTACTGCAGAATAAAGACCTACCGTATGTCACAGTCTGAACACAAAACAAGTGGAAAAAGAGGAATAGTGTCTAGAAGTAATGCAGAATCAACACCTATGTCACTGAAAAACACACAGAAATGCATCTAAGCAGACCAACATTTAAAATTATTTTCACACAGTCCTCACATTTCTATTATGGCTGTTGTCTCACATGGTTAATAATACAACAAAGAGAACATGTTATACATCAGCCAAGACATTTAAAAATAAAGTTAGTTCAGTACTTACTCAGGGCAGACATCCTCTGGAACAAAAAGACAATCCCTGTGAAAAAAGCATAGCGTTTTTTTCTCACAATTCAACAATAACCAAAGTTGACAGTGGTAGTTATTTAATTTGCTTACCAATGAAGGGGATAACACTTTGTAGCCACACCATGTTATCTGTGAGACAGGAGAATAAAAATGTCACAAACAGCGCATCACATAAAGTATTTCATACAGAGAAAGATTAAAAAAATTAAGTTATGACAGAGTAATGACATATTTTGTGTGGGATACATTTGAACAAATGACTAGTACAATAGCCTACTGTATACTATTTTAAACACATCCTTACCTCTCCGTTCAACAACCAACTCTATTTTGGAGTGCATGCAAGGTTTTGTCATTTTTCTAAAGTCATTTTATGCAAAACGCACCCTTTTGTGCAGAAGAAAATAGAACACATTTGGTTACAAGTTGTTCTCGGGCATCCGGTGCTTTAACTAGCTCCTTTGTTTGTTTTTGTTTGTGAGTGTTGCTTTGGGTATGTTCCAAAACAAATTCTTAAACATTAGATTGAATTAAAATTATTGTTATGTGTGTATGACTCACATGCATGATATGTTCAAGCACTTACAACTGTTAAATGAAATGAGACTAAGTATTGATTGACCGTCTGTCAGAATATTTTACATCAAAAGGTTCTCAGCTTTTAAAGAGGCCTTATTTTGCTTTTTGTGGTTTCCCTTCTCCTGCACAGTGGCGGTTCTAGACCAATTTGACTGGGGGGGCCAGGCTGGGGCCAGTTATTTTCTGAGGGGGCCCAATAAATGCAGGACGAAAAAGACAAAGACAGTATGAAGTAATTGCGCATAAGAAAACAATGCAATACAGTTATTGGTATTTGTTTCAGTACACTTATTTATTTCAGATACTTATAGTTACAGTTTTTACGCTCTAATGCAGGGGTCTCCAACCTTTTTTAGAATGAGAGCTACTTTCAAAATATAAAACAAGTCGTGAGCTACTTTTACTCCTCTTTTGTTGTTTTTTGCAGTGTATATATTTAGCTCATTTTAACATTATTATATGCTTACCTTTAACCTTTGTGTGCTGTTTGGGTCTGTGGGACCCGTTTTCAGTGTTTACTAAAAGAAAATGTATGCAATTTAACTCAATTTAACTCAATTTAATTTAACCTGCTTTATTTGGAGGGTGGACCTCACATCCCCCGGGAAGATTTTTTTTTAAATGTTGAAGTGAAATGCATCAATCTGGTGCACTTTGAGCACAAAATGAATTTATGGATACAGCTCTCAACACTCTATGAAAGGGAGCTGTATACTTTTCAATAATCCAAACATCTTTGGAATATGATCACAACCAATAACAAATCATTTACACTTGTTTATTCTTATCTTATGTTACCTAGTTAGCATTCTTTCTTTTTATTTATGCATATTTTACTAATCACTCCCCTTTTAAACTGTTTTACATTTTTGTTACTGTCTTATAGTACACATTGGAATGATTTCTAGATAATAAATAAAGGTGTGCTCTCTCTAATGGGTCCGACTAGAATTACAAATATCGTTAGTTCCACCTATTCCGTCAGCCAAGAAATCGTTTAATCATAAACTTTTTTATGGGGGGGTCCAAAGGCAGTGTTGGGGGCACTGCACCCCCTGGTCCCCCCTAGAACCGCCCCTGCTCCTGTAGTGTGTCATATAGGTTTTTTTATACATGTGAATCGCCTGTAAAGGTTAAAATCCCAAAGTGTCTCTTCCACACACAGAAGACTGTACAAACACCTCCATTGGACTCTTTTGTTTACTTCTGTAATATATTGAGTGGTTGACCAATCACAAAAGAGCCGGCAAGCTAACCAATCATCATTACTCTGTAAAGATTTATTTTAACAAAAGATGACATGTGGACATAAAATGAAAAAATAACACAGTGCTCCAAATGGGTATTTTTATTTATATGTGTTTATTTTTATTCACAATAAGTATTAGAAACATTTGAAGGGGCAAATGATACACATTTCTGATCTCAAAAGGCATCTTAAATAATTAATCAAGTATTAACCATAGTCATACATCATTTTGAAATGCAAAAAACGGCTAGCTTATCTCTTTAATTTTGTAACAATTCACTTCTTAATTCAACGGTACATGGCAAAAAGGAACTAATATACAGGCTTTTCTTCCGGTTACATTGAGTAAATAAGAAAAATGGGTTTAAAATACTGCATTTTTTTATGCAAGTACACAAATTAGTTCACATTGTTTAACTTCAGTCCATTAAAGGTAGCAGGACTCATGTTTCATCTCCTCCAGGTGAAGCAACAGATGTTTACATAGTTATCTGTCAATAGAAGGCTTGAAAAACAAGGCCCTAAAACTAAAAACGTAAAGGTCAATTATATTGAGGATGACTTCAAAATGTTTGGGCTTTATACTGGCTTTATACTTTATACTTTTACAAGCCAGTAAACAACTCTCCTGCAGCACATTTCTAAACTGAGCTATTCACAAAGGCTCCTCACACAGAAAACGAAAAGGAATTATAACCGATCAAAATCGGAAATCAGTACAAACACTAAATGCACAAGTCAAACTAAAAGTTGTAACTAAAAAATCATGATGTTGTTCACATGTTCAATTTCATTTGCCAACAAAAAGTAGGTTAAATGTAAAATGTTATGACACCTTGCTTAGACACTGTCTATTTAGACTTATATTATATAGTATATTCTTACACACAACTAACATTTGAGTTTGACATCAACTTTTATAAAATGTCTCTCTGAGAGGGTTACTTAAACATTGCAGAATGTATACAAGTGAACAAGCATGTACAACTAAACAAGTTAATTCAATGGGAGGTTGTCATGGTTGTTTTTGTTGTCCGGACATCTTCCAGTTGATCTTGAAATCAGTGATTCCCATGTCTCTCATCTTTGCCTCCAGCTAAGAAACATACACAAATACCAGGAGTTACATTTGTCCCAACTTGAAATCCAGCCACTCATTCGCTAAAGTTCTTCTATATTGTTAATAACTACGGGAGTAAACTGTTATAAATGCAAATATGAAACAAGATGTATTATTCTCACCTGGATCACGATTTGTTGTTGGAACGGCTGGGTCACTCATGTCAAAGTCAGCACTGATCCTCACAAACGTCTTCTTCTTAAACGCTGGAAAATAGTGGTAATGTTATTGAATTTAATGATTTTAGAAGCCCTAGCATTTGTTCATTGTTCTAGTAAATGCACTACAGGAGTATTAGCATCATTTATCATCATAAAATGACTTTAAGATTAATTTGATCGAAGGCAGCCATTGGTTCAGGTTTATCAAAAAACAAGCTTGTGTTTTTCAAAATATTAACAAAAAACTGGATACCTGGCACTTTTAAATCAATTCCATATACTGTATACATGCAATAAATAATCACTGGTCTACTCAAGGTAAAAATAACGCATGTCAACAATGGGAGTGGGGATACAACTATGTTATTATTTTTCATTATCAATTCATCAAACAATTGTTCTTTTAATCAACTGAAATGAATATGTATTATACAATGAAGGAAATGCACCAAATCCTTTTATTTGAAAAAAATTGGTTCTACTATTTTTGTTTTGTTCCCACTCACTAGATAACCCTAACCCCTAGGATTAATATTTGTTCTGATGGAGGAGCCAGCTACCCGCTATTAAAAAGTGGGGACAGGTAACCCACAAGTACCAACAAAACAAATAGATTTATTGTCTGACCCCCTGTAGCACTTACTATAGCAGAGAAACATAGATTTGGTGTCGCAGGACCTGACGTTCCATTTCCTGCCGGAAACATGAGCGCAGTTGGGACCCTCTCCTAAAAGGAGTTGTTCCTGAGACAAGTATCTGAACGAGGAGTAACTCCCGTCTGACCACTTCCAGGAGTCTTGAAAGAGGCCGATCCAGGCCAGCTTTCCTTCCGGCACCATGCTCTGGACTTCCTGGTTCTCCGCCTGGTTTCTCACACTGAGCAGGTCTGTGTGGTGTTTCCTGCAGTAGCCTTGAGCGTCGGCCCAATTCATAGCTGTTTCCACGAGAATCTTGCTTTTGAGTGCACCTGTTCTGCCTGTAAACACAGAAAGAATCATGATGCACCGAAACACAACGAAAACCTACTCGTTCCTGGAATAAAAGAGCATTAGTTTTGAATAAATGTTGATGTGTGCATAATATTTTCCTTCATATTACCATCAAAGCATAGGAAGAAGTTAAGTAAGTCACATTGCAGGTCTCTCCATTCTCCCGTGTGTTGTATGCCTGCACAGTCCTGGGTGGCCCTCTCCAGATTGGGTTCACCAGCACCCCAGTTCCTGAACTCAGCTTCACTCGCTCCATAATAACCTGACAGAGACCACCTCCAGGTAGCAACGTCTTCATACAGCCCAATCCAAAAGTCTTTGTTGGAGTAATTCTCCATCTTTTCCATGACCCTATACATGTCCTGAACGTCGTTGATGGTGGCCAGGTCAGTGTACTTCTCTCTGCAGTAGCTCTGGGCTTCAAACCATGTTTTGGGTTCATCAGGAATGAGAATGTAGTCTCGTCCACAGGACACATCGGAGCAGTAATCTTTAACTGTAATTTGAATAGAAAATGCAGGAATGACGTAGCCAGAAAGTACCAGTATGAATGCCTGTTACACATCATGCTCGATTCAATCAGTAAAAATGTAACGAGGAACATTTTACATTTTCATTCAGTAGATGATTTGATCTTTGGTTTTAACAAGATACTGATAGATGACAGTATCGTCTGCAAATGGTATGAGCCTTACAATCCTGGTTGGACGTTTGTATTGTAAAGAGATTGTAATACAGCGTTATATGTTTACCATGGGGCGGGGGCAGCTGAGGGAAACTGTTTTGAAGATTTTCCAAAGTGCTATAGACCTCCACCTCGCACAGAGGCGGTGCTACGCCATGATGGATCACAGTCACATAGCGACCCACAATCCCACCGCAATCCAGGGTCATCAAAGAATATGCATTACTGGAGACGACCTCACAGCTGAAAAAGATAAAGAAGAAGAAGTATATGAAACTCTGCTTTAAACATAATTTATATAATTTCAAAAAGTGTTCTACCCACGAGACAAATTATGAGAAATAGGTCGAGCTATGCATTCCTCCAACATTGTCCAACTATATATCACCTTGTGTCGTCTACATGGACATCGAAACGGAAGCAGCAGTCGGAGCTGTAGGCGAGTTGGACTGCAGTCACACTGTAAGGAACCAGTAGATCCACTGTTACCCACGGACCTGGCTGCTCAATGGCTACGCTGCAGGTGGAAGACTGATCGCCATCAATGACTTTGCTGGCTACACTGTTTTCCAGACTTGAGGAAGAATGAAAAGCCAGTCCTCTCAAAGCCACGTTTTCTAGTGAGGGTCAAACAGAACCAAGAAAAGCATTCTTTACTGGAAGAAATATAACAAAGGCTTCTGTTTAATGTCAAGTAAATCAATCAATCAATGTTTATTTATATAGCCCAATATCACAAATGTTACATTTGTCTCAGTGGACTTCACAGTTTGTACAGAATATCAGTATGACAATACGACACCCTCTCTCCTTAGACCCTCACATCGTACAAGGAAAAACTTCCAGAGAAAACCCCACAGTTTAAAGGGAACATGGGAGAAACCTCAGGGAGAGCCACAGAGGAGGGATCCCTCTCCCAGGACGGACAGACGTGCAATAGATGCCGTGTGTAAATTGAAAAGATAATACATTTGCAACATAGGTAGTCCAAATGTTTGGAAATGCATGTGTGTATAAAAGGAAGATGAATCCACGAGGATATCCATCCAGGACCTATGATCCAGGACCACAGCCACGATCAAGTAAACAATGCAGTCTGGAGATTTAGGAGAAGTCTAAACAGCCATTATCATTTGGAGCTTACCAAGCAGAGTACCATACACCTCTACTTCACAAAGAGTCAAAGTCTTCTGTAGACCAGGAAGGTAAACATGTACGAAGCGTCCTTCCATTATTCCACATTGGTAGTTGTATTTCTGCTCTCCCTCTGAAACGGAGATGATGGCACACCTGAAAGAAGGAGGACGTTAAAAGGGAGAATAAAGGTCACCTATTATGCAAATTCCACTTCTTCACGTCTCTTCTACATCAACATGTGTCCCCTCTTCTTCATGTCTCTTCTACATCAACATGTGTCCCCTCTTCTTCATGTCTCTTCTACATCAGCATGTGTCCCCTCTTCTTCATGTCTCTTCTACATCAACATGTGTCCCCTCTTCTTCATGTCTCTTCTACATCAACATGTGTCCCCTCATTCTTCATGTCTCTTCTACATCAACATGTGTCCCCTCTTCTTCATGTCTCTTCTACATCAACATGTGTCCCCTCTTCTTCATGTCTCTTCTACATCAACATGTGTCCCCTCTTCTCATGTCTCTTCTACATCAACATGTGTCCCCTCTTCTTCATGTCTCTTCTACATCAACATGTGTCCCCTCTTCTTCATGTCTCTTCTACATCAACATGTGTCCCCTCTTCTTCATGTCTCTTCTACATCAACATGTGTCCCCTCTTCTTCATGTCTCTTCTACATCAACATGTGTCCCCTCTTCTTCATGTCTCTTCTACATCAACATGTGTCCCCTCTTCTTCATGTCTCTTCTACATCAACATGTGTCCCCTCTTCTTCATGTCTCTTCTACATCAACATGTGTCCCCTCTTCTTCATGTCTCTTCTACATCAACATGTGTCCCCTCTTCTTCATGTCTCTTCTACATCAACATGTGTCCCCTCTTCTTCCATGTCTCTTTCTACATCAACATGTGTCCCCTCTCTTCATGTCTCTTCTAACTGGCTCCCCTCTTCTCAGTCTATCAACATGTGTCCCTCTTCTTCATGTCTCTTCTACATCAACATGTGTCCCCTCTTCTTCATGTCTCTTCTACATCAACATGTGTCCCCTCTTCTTCATAGCTCTTCTACATCAACATGTGTCCCCTCTTCTTCATGTCTCTTCTACATCAACATGTGTCCCCTCTTCTTCATGTCTCTTCTACATCAGCATGTGTCCCCTCTTCTTCATGTCTCTTCTACATCAACATGTGTCCCCTCTTCTTCATGTCTCTTCTACATCAGCATGTGTCCCCTCTTCTTCATGTCTCTTCTACATCAACATGTGTCCCCTCTTCTTCATGTCTCTTCTACATCAACATGTGTCCCCTCTTCTTCATGTCTCTTCTACATCAACATGTGTCCCCTCTTCTTCATGTCTCTTCTACATCAACATGTGTCCCCTCTGTGGAAAGAGATTCTGAAAGTTTCAGGAAAAAAGAGTTCCTCTGTTTTGTCCTGATCCATTTCTATAAAAACCTGTCTGAAAATTAGCTGATCAGATTTTGGTCATAACGATTGTTTGGCTTGTGTAACCATTAGCCAATCACCAACCAAGGTAACCCCCCCCCCCCCCCCCACCTTATCACCTGAATCTCCTCCTAGAGCACCACTGAGTTCTCTCTCAGAGGGGCGTGGGGAGGGGGCTCCTTATTTTCATCTAAAGTAACAGACTGAGAATCAGCACTTTGGACACAGGGCTGAAACAGAGGGGATTATGGGTAATGCTGCAATGATCTGTTTGGTGTTTCGAGCAAAACACTTCAGAGACATGTTTTGTATAGATCTGAGACCTGTAGTATATTGATGAAAAACAGTATAATAGGGGATCTTTAATGCTACTGAGGCAAGTAAGTTACTGTATCTTTTGTTCGTGCTTGTATCACCTCTGGTTGGTAACGTCCTTGCTGAGGCCGATGCGGACCTCCGCCCCGTTCAGCTGCTCCGAGCAGCAGTCTCCTGAGCTGAGGATAGACACAGCAGTTATGCGGTAGATATTCCTCAGGTCAAGTTGCCACCACGGGTTGTCTTGCAGTGCGACGGAGGCACAGGTTTCCAGAGCATCCGTCGGCCCAGGGTGTTCATCAATAGCCATATGTTGAGAAGTTTCTACAGAAGCAGGTGCTGAAGACAGCGTAGCTATTCCTCTTGGTGCAACATTAGCTGGCAAGAGTGGTATAAAGGCAGTTATGACAAAATTAATGAAAACAATCAGGTGGAAATCGGCGCTTTAACCATAGAAGCAATACTTAACCAAATTGTGTAAATGTCATGTTGTTCCCAACAATGCCATTGTTTAGTGACGCATTACCTCCTGTAAGTTGGGTAGTGGTGTACACTTTGACCTCACACATCTGAAGATCTTTTCCTACTCCAGGGTTGATTATGTTGACGTAGCGTCCTTGCATGTGGTTACAGTTGAAGGTCATGGTAGCATTACTGGTCACGGTGATGACTGCACATCTAAAGGAGGGTAAAAGGGACAGTTAGAAAATGCATATTGGCTAGCAATGGGTACCCATTATGTCACTATTTTAGGAACAAGATGCCTTATGCTGATTGGTTAAGGCCAAACTAAACAAAGTCGGCCTACTTTATCCAGAGGAAAATATCCCACATGAACACAATGTCAGTGTGAATAATATTGTGAAAACAAAATGTCTTCTCATCACCTGGGATTGTTGTTGCCATTGTTCTCCAGTGAGTTACCAATGCGTATTTCTGCCCCATTCAACGATTGGTCGCAGCAATCTGTTCTTCGAAAGACTTCAATGGATAAGATGTCATACGGACCCCGCATGTCCAATCTCCACCAGGGGTTACTATGCGTCAAAGAGCGAAAACAGCTCCCGTCAGCTTTGCCATCAATGGCTAAGCTTGGTTGATGGTTAACGCTATACTGTGATGACGCCGCAGCCACTCCACCCAGAGCCACATTCACTGCAGAGTGAGCACAGTGACAAAGATTCAAGTTTTGCAATGCAAAATATGTAAAACAGCTACACATGGAAGCCCTAAAAGTTCTTTAAAACCAAATAATCCATACAAACAGATCGACAACATTTCTGTTATTTTACAGTGTGTTGTTTTAGCTGACCAGCAGATATGTGTACGTAAAGTTGCATTCACATGAATTGCTCACGACTATGTTGGCCGCAGAGCCTTGTGGTGAAAGCAGTTAAGTTTCATTTATATGGCTGCACGTCCCCTGCTAGCTGGCGCAGCTTCACAAAGCTTTCATGTGATTGTTTGCTAATAGAAAAGGTTCGAACTTTGAACGTCAGCACAGAGCTGTTTTACCCAGGGCCGGCCCTGACCAATTGCTGCCCTAGGCAAGATTTTACAGAACTGTAAGCAGATTTTCTTTTTCTTTATGTATATTTTACAAATCACTCCCCTTTTAAACTGTATTCTTGTTTATTAATAACAACTTTTTTTTACTGTCATATAGTATTTTATACCTGTTTTTCATTTATTCTCGTATTTTAATGATCATATAAAGGTGTGCCTTTACCTCACTGAGCTGAGGTTATCAGAGCCGCTCAGTCTTTCAGGAGAGAGCTCTCTAAAGCTCTCCCCCCCCCCGCGGCCGCTTACACAGTAAATTCCAATGTTAATAAAAGCACACAGAAGCTGTATACGTTTGTTGGGAGTTTGATTTATTTTAAATGAACACAAATACAAAATTAAAACCTATAATTGCACACTAAAACCATTATTTAAAAAAAAAAATGTCACATAAACCTCTGTTTTTTACTGGGGCTGGTGCAGTTCAACTTGATTTGGGGGGGGTGAGCCATAGTGTATGGGTGCTGTACGCAATATAGGCATAGTTAGGTTAGTACAGCATTTCTCAAAGTGTGGGGCGCGCCCCACTGGTGGGGCGCAGAGATGTGATAGGTGGGTCGTGAAATACAAAATTAAAAAAAAAATGTTTACACTGGTGGAATATCAAAACAACGGCCCGGGGTGCAAAACGCATCAATGACAGCGACCCTCTACCACACAAAACAACACCTGTAAATAACCCAATTTGTGTTCTCTGAAATTGAAAAGGATATTGCATTGTGTTCGTTGCAGTTGTATGTCTTAAGTGTAATTTGGCATGCTTTTATTTTGAAGGCGAGTTTACGCTGTTGACAGTTGTTGTTGCTATGGAAACAAGAAAAGTTTCACAGCAGGCGGAACTTGTCATAAAGTCCGCGATAATAAAGCCCACCCATTTAGAGGGAAGATATGATTGGTTAATTGTACTGTCATTTGACATTACTCTCTCGTTCAGTTGCTGTTAGTATAAGATAATAAGATGTACTTTGTTGATCCAAAATCGGGAAATTGTGTTGTTGTGCAATTAAAAAAAAAAAATGTTTCTCCCCAATTTGTGGCGCCCCTGATGGGTTGATGTGCCCTTAGCATTCACCTATACTGCCTATGTATGCCAAGGGCCGGCCCTTGTTTTACCGTATATCATGTGAATGCATTTTAAAACCCAAGTATCAAAACACTAACAATATTGTTCAAATATCTACTTAATTATGTTACCAGTACTTAATTGAATCAGCTTAAGGTGCCATTGTTTAGTGTTTGTTACCTCCTGTGATGGGGGTTGCAGCGAACACTTTGACCTCACAAACTTGAATCATAGAAGCAGATCCTGGACGGAAAATGTTGACGTAGCGTACTTGCTTCTGGTTGCAATGGAAGGTCATTTTAACTGAACTGCTCACACGGACGACTGCACATCTGAGGGAGGAGGACAGACAGGAAGTACAGTACAGATTTAAAACCTCAATCAGTGATTCTTGGCAACTTAACACACCTGAAAATCTCCGACATGAACATAAAGTAAGTGTGATACTGGGGGGAGAAGAAAATGAAAACCCTGTCCGATTGTCAGGCTAGTTCAACCCATTCGATCACCTGGGATTGTTGTTGCCATTGTTCTCCAGTGAGATACCAATGCGGATTTCTAGCAAGTTAAGATCTTGGCCGCCTCCATCTGTTCTTCGGAGGAGTTCAATGGTTGAGATGTCAAACAGACCCCCCAAATCCAGCCTCCACCAGGGGTCAATCACAAAAGAGGCAAAACAGCTGTTGTGGATAAATTGGTTTGTTTCATCGCTGCCATCAATTGCATTGCTTGGTCGATAGTCGTAGTTCAACCTTGTCGACGATGCAGCCGCTCCTCCCAGAGCCAAGTTAGCTGCAGAGAAAGGACAGTGACAAAGATGTATGTTCGCCATGCCAAATAGTAAAACATCTAGACAGGAAAACACTTGATGAGAAGCTGAAAAAGCTGTTAATATATCTCTTTTAACTCCAGTACATTTTTGACAGCTGTCGTTTTGTTGTCAGATTAAGGTTTTAAATAAAAAGAAACAAATAGTATGCTTACCAATGGTTTCTCAAATGTTAGCAGTTTTAGATAAAAAAAAGGCCATGAGATAAAAGTCATTTTCAGCCACAGAACTTTGCATTACTTCTTTTTACATTCGTATCACAAAGTGTATGGTGCTAACACGGGACATTTGACTGGAGCACAATACCTAAAACTTATATTATAACTTAAGGGTCTGAGTATTTCTTCCATCCATGCTTTTCATACTAAACAGTCACTTACTTGCCTGATGAGTTATCCTCAAACTGAGAAGTAAAGCCCCTGCAAAAACAAATATATATCTAATGAAGTCTGATCGATACACAATTATAGTTAACATGTGGCTAAGAAATACATTTTAGTTTCTAAATGTGGCCCACTGACAAATCTGATATGTCACCATCTAGGATCTAATCTGTAAATGAGACGTATGAAGGGAAATAACATGCTTTCTTTAAAATAAAGAAATGTATTCTTGTGTAATAGTGATTGTATCCCTTTTTTTTAATCAAATAAATACATAAGTATCAACTAATGTATCCATATATATATATATATATATATATATATATATATATGACATGACTTACCCCAAATAAAGAAGAATGTCCACCTCCACCCCATCATCTTCTGAGCGTTCTAGTTGTATTCGTGGTGTCAGGCAGAGAATAACCAGCTCGAATCCAAAATGTGTGATATAATGTATCGACAATGGTTGACATTGAGTTGCTGACATCCTGTGTCCTTAATTATTTCTGTGATGTTCAATATAATTTACCTACACACAAATTAATTCAAAACACATTGAAATGATAATGTGCATGACTCACTCTGAAGTGTTGTCAACACCTGCCTGGTGTACGAATCAAGTGTTTGTTTGTGACACAGACACGAGAGCCCTTTCAAAATAAAATGGTAGTATTGACTGCAGGGGGCCGTTGTAAATTAATTGTAAAAAAAATTGAAATCCCTCCATACATACAGTATATGTATGCAGACTAGAAAAGACAAACTAAATCTATTGATATATACATCATTTGACTTTCAAAAGCTGTTTCTTTAAAGATCTCCTATCATGCAAAATGCACTTTTGATGTATGTACAGAAGAAATTCAAAAATGTTTACAATGAATTTACAGCGGCCCCCTGCAGTCAATACTACCATTTTATTTTGAAAGGGCTCTCATGTCTGTGTCACAAACAAACACTTGATCCGAACACCAGGCAGGTGCTGGCAACACTTTAGAGCAGTGGTTCTCAACTGGTGGGTCGCGACCCAAAAGTGGGTCTAGGACCCGTTTCGAGTGGGTCGCGGATGTGTGAGTGAAGAAAAAAACATTGGAGAAAAAAAAAAAAACTTTTATTTTGAAGGCCCGATTTTCTAACGCTGTGCATGCAGTCGGCGTTGGACTGGAAGTACCGGAGACCATAAACGGTTTTGAAAACTTCTGTCACATAGTGATCATTTTCTCAATACAATATCTTCGAGTATTCTGGCCAATCAGAATCAAGATTGTTGCCGGAAGTCCCCACGGAGAATAACTTTGCGGTAGAACTCTTCTTTATACATCCATGGTTACAACTTCAGATAAAAATGAACACATAATGAAATATGACCCCCGGTCTGATGACTGACAGGTCACAGAACAATGGGAGCTATCTACCCTTACCCACAATTTAAAGTAAGTCACACAGACTATCTCCTCTTTACTCTTCTCGCAGCAAGATGTCAGAACAAAGTGAAAAACAAACAATGGCATAAAATATTATTAATATATCGGGTAGTAATAGATTTATTTATTTTTCTTCTCAGTGTACCAGAATGCATAGTTTATGTTAGTATTTCTAAAAATCTCCTGGGGGAGAATCCCCCCAGACCCCCCTGCTGGGGTTGGGTTTTCAGCATGCGTGCCTTTTTATGTTAGTTCAGCTTTGATTCCATCATCTCATTAAACATTTGTTCAGGGTCGGCTCTAGAACAAATCGAATGGGGGGGAAATCATTTACCAAGGGGGGGCACACACTGCCGTCAACAACCAACACACAAACACCAACGCAATTTCAAAAAACATGCTGTAAAGTCTATTGTCTTTCACACACATTGCAGGGGTGTAGTGCTATTGTATAGCGCACCTATGACTTGTGCATATATGCACGGTTGTGGCACGACCACCAAAACAGAAACATATAAGGACAGAGGGTGTCGTTTTCTCATACTGATATTCTGCATAAACTGTGCCGTTGTATTTGCTGTAAAGTGTCTTTACTGTAGGTTATTTTTTATTATATGTAGGCCTACAGCACTTTGGCTCGACCAAAAATCGTTGAAAAATGTGCTATATAAATAAAACTTGATTTGATTTGATATGGACATAGGCCACCATATAAAAAGTGTGCAAATGTATTTAGTATCCTATCCATGTGAACATGTTTTAGGTGGGGGTGGACCTAACCTCCTCTAGGAGGGTCTGGGGGCATGCTCCCCCGGGAAGATTATTTTTGAAATATTGAAGTTAAAAGCATCAATCTGGTGCACTTTGAGAGCAAAGTGAAGAGATCTATGGATAGCCTACATCTCTCAACATACATATGAAACAGAACTGTACACAGATTTACTTTTTCTTTATGGATATTTTACTAATCATTCCCCTTTTAAACTGTATTCTTGTGTTACTGTGTTACTGTTATAGTATTTCATACCCGTTTTTCATTTATTCTCTCTTTAATAACTATCATGATCATATAAAGGTATTCCTCGAAAATACTTACATAAATGGTGACCAAACCGTTTGAGACCCACTGAGATAACTTACACTAAAGTGAACTATCTAAACGAGGAGAGAGTCCTTACCTCACTGAGCTGACGTTATAAGATCCTCTCAGTCTGACAGGAGAGGACTGTCCTCCACCTTGGTGTAGAAGCAGCCCTTTATATCCGTTAGCATAGCTAGCTAACCAGATGCTAACAACAACATTCCACGTTACCGCTCGCGCACTCACAAAATGCTCTCGTGCCACACACACACAGAGATTGAATGAAACACAGAGACCCATGTACTTGTACTGTACTGTATATCATATTATTTTCGATGGCTTTACTGTATAATCAGTATAACAGATGAACAGATCGCCACTGGGCTTTCATCTAAACACACAGCCACGTAATGATAACAAAAAAAAGGTCGGGGGTCATTGGTCAAGCAACACACCAATCAGAGAGCAGCAGTGAGCACACCTCAGGCTGTGTTTTATATTTGTATTCTTTATTTCTGATGTATTACACACAAAAAACCTTTAGTGGAAACCTTTTCACTTATATGATTAAAAAAAGAAAACAACGGCAAAGTGGCAAGGCTTGCCCTCCCTGCGTTGGGGGGGCATGGCCCGTGAATGACCCCCCATGACGCCGACCCTGCATTTTTTTAAAGCATACTTTAGTTCTGTGAAGGGATATATGGGATATATCAATCCAGTCTCACGGCATTTCGTGTTCACCAACACGATTTTTAATCTATTGATTCGTGTTCACCAACACGATTTGCCCCTTTTTTTCGTGTTGCACAGCACGATTTGAAAAGCAATGTATTTCTACTGCGTGCAGCACGTCTTTTTCTCCGGTCGGGTCGAGGAAGACCGGAAACTGTGTGGTTCATAAAAACACAAAAAAATACTCAATATCAAGCCACAGTTATTGCTTTTATTTGAAATCGTATAATTTTGGACTTTTGTTGCAGTCTGTGAGGAAACTAAATGGGGCTCAGAGCCTCAGGATACTGAAATCTGTATTTTTTTAAATCTTTTTTTCCTTCTAATTTGTTATTCTTTTCAAAATAACACACTGTTATTTACTCACCAATAACACACAATTATCCTTGCTTTTATTTATTGGTTTAATTCCATAATCTCTGGCTTTTTTGGCGTCCGTCAGGAACTGAATTTCAAAATAAAAATAACCGGAAACAGACGTAGGCATTTCGAGCGATTACCCAAGATCCTCAGCTATGGTTTTAAGCTCGCTTATTGGATGTTTTAGCCGCAATGCATGCTGGGATTTGGTGTTTATATGATATGAAATCCAGAAAACATTTTAAAAGAATAAAATAATACTTAATTCCGAGCGCTCTTGCTTTTCTCTTTGAAAGTCATCACATAACGGCATTGTAATACACGGTTCGGCTGCATTGTATATTACAGATCTGCCGTAGTTCTTTATTTATAGAGCCCTGATGAGAAGACCTTTGGAAAAACTGAGAAAAAATGCCGCCGAAACTGAATACTTGACGTGGATCATAAATATATTCAACAATTAAACAACATCTTCAATTTCTCTTTACACAATACGTCTCCTTGCAGTATCAACACTAATTCGGCTGACTTTTACATTTGATCTAATTCATAGATAGGTTATATTTAAACCATAACGGTGCACAGCTGATATAAAAGGACTGTAGTTTTTAAAGATATTACTGATTTTCTTTGAATGTAAGAATGTAAATACTGAGTCTGAAATAGTATAGCAATATGCTGTAAAATTATGTGAAAGCATGCATAAAACTACACATCTTCAGATGTTGTACTAAAACACAAGTGTCCTACACTAATAATACAAAGTTATTATGGCTGTGTGTACCTTGTGTGCACCTCCTAGTGGTTAAAGCACGTTATTGAATTATTGTGTTTTATTTGATTAAAAAAATATTAAGAGTACATACTTTCATAGGGGGAAAGTATAAATATAGAATATAAAAAATCAAGAAGATACTATAAGTGATCTCTACAATAAAACAGTTTAGTGCAGAATGTACAAAGATATTAATAGGAGGAGGTGCAAAACAGAACAACGAATTAACCTTTATTTAAATATTAAATAACAGATTAAGGTCTTCTTTTAAATAAGAAAAAAACGTTGGGGGTATCTATCTACAGATAAATATTAAGCCTGACAAAGTACTTAACGTCTAATATATTGCTTTCCTGCAATGTTAACTATGTTGAAGCACTTAGCAATTATACTCTTATGTATATTATGTAGATAGAATAAGAAATGTGCAGAATATGACAGTTTAATAGTGGAGGTACACACATATTGATAGATGTCTTGTAATGCACTGTTGAGGAACCTGTGACCCAAGTGTTTCATTCATTGCATAACTACACCGTAGTTGTGTATATGATATGTCAATAAACCTTTGAAAATCTTGAAAGGGATGTGCAAAATAGCCATAATATACAGTCTTTAATTAACTATTAGTAGAGAATAACGAGTAATGAATATACTTTATTACTCGCTTCCATTCATGTCAATTGCAGATACATGTTTAGTCTTCTCAAGCACCAACTATCAAATATCTCTCCTGATTGTTGGCACTTGACAATCACCTTACCTGCATTTTACTCAGGTGTAACTAAAGTCTGATTTAAGGGTTGTTTATATTTCACATAATTAATCAGAATCTGCAAAGTAACTCAAATAAATGCAGTGGAGTAAAAATACCAGGTTAACCTCTGAATTGTAGTGGAGTAGAATTACAAAGTAACAATGACCTGTCATGTGGGTATTAATGCTGCGCATTAATATGGACACAAGCGATTTTCACCCATTTATTAATTATATGTTTTACATTTGATAACACCAATGTGTTTAATACTGGCAACTTCTAATTGTGGGGAAAACCAAAACGTTCAGTAGAGACGTCCCATAGAACATTTTGCGAAACACAATAGCCAGCATGTGTAGTTCTGGGGGGGCGTTCGATTCCAGTTTTGGATAGTCTGGCGTGGTTTCGTTCCATTTCACACAGCTGTTTGACGCTCTGCGTAACCTTACGGGGACTGTAGTCCTAAACGATAGCTGGGGATTATGGGTAGTGTAGTGTCTTCGGCCATCCTAAACTCAGAAATGTTGACAATCGCAATGATGCTCGAAATGTCCCTTATAGGCCTACGTCTGTTTCCGGTTATTTTTATTTTGAAAATCAGTTCCTGACGGACGCCAAAAAAGCCCGAGATTATGGAATTAAACCAATAAATAAAAGCAAGGATAATTGTGTGTTATTGGTGAGTAAATATTAGTGTGTTATTTTGAAAAGAATAACGAATTAGAAGGAAAAAAATATTTAAAAATACAGATTTCCGTATTCTGAGGCTCTGAGCCCCATTTATTTTCCTCACAGACGGCAACAAAAGTCAGAAATTATACGATTTAAAATAAAAGCAATAATTGTGGCTTGATATTGAGTAACAACATGTTTTTATGAACCACACAGCTTCCGGTCTCCCACGACCCGACCGGAGAAAAAGACGTGCTGCAGGCAGTAGAAATACATTGCTTTTCAAATCGTGCTGTGCAACACGAAAAAAAGGGGCAAATCGTGTTGGTGAACACGAATCAATAGATTAAAAATCGTGTTGATGAACACGAAATGCCGTGAGACTGGGTTGGATATATGCACTGTACTTCACTTTTATTAATATTGTATGCTGAAAAGCGTATATATTACAGCATGATTTTTTGTTGAATAGATTTGAGTGCTTCAAAATGTTGGGTATTGACCAAGTAAAAAGTGGGTCCCGAGGCCTGACTAGTTGAGAACCACTGCTTTAGAGTGACAGACATGCACATTATAATTTCAATATTTTTTGAATTCATTTGTGTGTAGGTAAATTCAAATGAACGTCACAGAAATAATTAAGGACACAGGATATCAGCAACTCAATGTGAACCATTGTCGAGACATCATAACACACATTTTGCATTTGAGCTAGTTCATAAAACATTCTCTGCCTGACACCACGAATAAAACTAAAACGCTCAGAAGATCATGGGGTGGAGGTGGAAATTATTCTTTATTTGGGGTAAGTCATGTCATACATTTATATATATCGATAAATGAGTTGATTCTTAGGCCTTTGTTTGATTACAAAAAAGGATAAAATCACTATTACACAAGAATACATTTCTTTATTTTAAAGAAAGCATGTTATTTCACTTCATTTGTCTCATTTACAGATTAGATCCTAGATGGTGACATATCAGATTTGTCAGTAGGCCACATTTAGAAACTAAAATGTATTTTTTAGCCACATGGAAACTATAATTGTGTATCGATCAGACTTCATTAGATATATATTTGTTTTTGCAGGGGCGATACTTCTCAGTTTGAGGATAACTCATCAGGCAAGTAAGTGACTGTTTAGTATGAAAAGCATGGATAGAAGAAATACTCAGACCCTTAAGTTATAGTATAAGTAACAATTCAACAATGTCTAGGTATTGTCCTGTAGTAAAATGTCCCCTGTTAACTCTATACGATTTGTGATATGAATGTAAAAAGAAGTAATGCAAAGTTCTGTGGCTGAAAATGACTTTTATCTAATGCCTCACATTGAAAATATAAATAATTTGACCTCTCGGCCTTAAACAGTTACTTACGATATCTGCAGGTCTTGAAAAAGTATTTTAAGAGCATTTTAAAAGCATTTGTATTTTAGTTTTGTGGCATTTAAAACAAGGGAAGTAACTTTTTGGTAGAACTGCTAACTTTTGAGAAACCATTGGTAAGCATACTATTTGTTTCTTTTGATGTAAAACCTTAATCAGACAACAAAACGACAGCTGTCAAAAATGTACTGGAGTAAAAAGAAACATATATGTAAGCTTCTCAACAAGTGTATTCCTGTCTAGATGTTTTACTATTTGGCATGGTGAACATATCTTTGTCACTGTCCTTACCCTGCAGCTAACTTGGCTCTGGGAGGAGCGGCTGTATCGTCAACAATGTGGGACTACGCCCATCGACCAAGCAATGCAATTGATGGCAGAGATGAAACAAACCAATTTATCCACAGGAGCTGTTTTGCCTCTCTGGTGGAGAAGGACCCCTGATGGAGGGTTGATTTGGGGGGTCTGTTTGACATCTCAACCATTGAAATCCTCCGAAGAACAGATTGCTGCGGCTATGAACTTGACTCGGCAGGAATCCTCATTAGTAGCCCACTGGAGAACACTACCAGGTGATCGAATAGGTTAAACTAGCCTGACAATCGGACAGGGTTTTCATTTTCTTCTCCCCCCAGCATAACATTACATTATATTTCATTTGGCAGACGCTTTTATCCAAAGCGACTTACAGTAAGTGCATTCAACCAGGAGGGTACAGATTAACAAGAATCATGTAGGTACATTAGTTTGAACTATGCCAAATCATTCGAAGCGCTAGTACCTTAGCTTCAACTAAGCCAAACCATTTGAAGTGCTATACCTTAGCTTCAACTATGCAAAACCATTCTAAGCGCTAGTACCTTAGCTTCAACTAAGCCAAATCATTCGAAGCGCTAGTACCTTAGCTTCAACTAAGCCAAACCATTTGAAGCGCTAGTACCTTAGCTTCAACTAAGCCAAACCATTTGAAGTGCTAGTACCTTAGCTTCAACTAAGCCAAACCATTTGAAGTGCTATACCTTAGCTTCAACTATGCAAAACCATTCGAAGCGCTAGTACCTTAGCTTCAACTAAGCCAAATCATTCGAAGCGCTAGTACCTTAGCTTCAACTAAGCCAAACCATTTGAAGCGCTAGTACCTTAGCTTCAACTAAGCCAAACCATTTGAAGCGCTAGTACCTTAGCTTCAACTATGCAAAACCATTCGAAGCGCTAGTACCTTAGCTTCAACTAAGCCAAACCATTCGAAGCGCTAGTACCTTAGCTTCAACTAAGCCAAACCATTTAAAGTGCTAATACATTAGCTTCAACTAAGCCAAACCATTTAAAGGAGACCTATCATGCTATATTTGAATAATATATTGTCGGGCCATACCTATATAAGGTATATTTATACGTTTTCTTTTTGAAAATACCAAACAGATCATGCCTTTTAGCCATGCCTAATTTCGCTCTATTTTGCTCTCCTCCACCCCTGTCTTTGCATGCACTGCAGCTGACCACGCCCCCCTGCAAAGGAGGGGGCCGAGTTACGAGCGTCATGTTACCATGGTGTTACCATGATGCCACGGCAACCTCTCATTCCCCTGATTGGTGGAGAGTTGCCCATATAGGCGGAGCTCCTCGTCACTGACGTCAGACTATTTTCAAATCTGTATCAGTCTGTATCAGATCCGTTAAAGCCCAGTTTTTAGAGATTTTGGGTTTGGAGGAAAAGAGAGAGGGTTGTGTTTTCTGACACTTAGTGAGTTCCCTGACACACCGGGGACACATCTTCATGTATAAAAGACGTGCAAAGGTGCATTTTGCATGATACAGTAGGTCCCCTTTAAAGTGCTAATACATTGGCTTCAACTAAGCCAAACCATTCAAAGTGCTAGTACCTTAGCTTCAACTAAAACATTCCGTTCTAAGTGCTTGAACATTATTACAATATGTATAGAGATTTCATTGGCCGAGGTGCAGTCAAAAAAAGTGTGTTTTCAGTCTGCAAAGGAACTTATCACATCACACTTACTTTATGTTCATGTTGAATATTTTTCAGGTGAGTTAAGTTGCCAGGAATCACTGATTGAGGTTTTAAATCTGTACTGTACTTCCTGTCTGTCCTCCTCCCTCAGATGTGCAGTCATTCCTGTGAGCAGTTCAGTTAAAATGACCTTCCATTGCAACCAGAAGCAAGTACGCTACGTCCACATTATCCGTCCAGGAAATGATACTACACTTCAAGTTTGTGAGGTCAAAGTGTTCGCTGCAACCCCCATCACAGGAGGTAACAAACACTAAACAATGGCACCTAAAGCTGATTCAATTAAGCACTGGGAACATAATTAAGTAGATATCTGAACAATATTGTTAGTGTTTTGATACTTACATAAAGTGATCAGCTCATTTTCAGACAGGTTTTTATATAAATGGATCAGGACAAAAAGTGGGAGAATCTTTTTTCCTGAAACTTTCAGAATCTCTTTACGAAGAGGGGACACATGTTGATGTAGAAGAGACATGAAGAAGTGGATTTAGCATAATAGGTGACCTTTAAGGGCTTTCATGTGTAGATGTTTTACATATTTTGCATTGCAAACATAAATCTTTGTCACTGTGCTCACACTGCAGTGAATGTGGCTCTGGGTGGAGTGGCTGCGGCGTCATCACAGTACGACATTTACCATCGACCAAGCTTAGCCATTGATGGCAAACCTTATTCAGACCATAGTCTGTACCAGAGCTGTTTTAGCTCTTTGACGAATAGTAACCCCTGGTGGAGATTGGACATGCGGGGTCTGTATGACATCTTATCCATTGAAGTCCTTCGAAGAACAGATTGCTGCGGCAATGTGGTTAATGGGGCAGAAATACGCATTGGTAACTCACTGGAGAACAATGGCAACAACAATCCCAGGTGATGAGAAGACATTTTGTTTTCACAATATTATTCACACTGACATTGTGTTCATGTGGGATATTTTCCTCTGGATAAAGTAGGCCGACTTTGTTTAGTTTGGCCTTAACCAATCAGCATAAGGCATCTTGTTCCTAAAATAGTGACATAATGGGTACCCATTGCTAGCCAATATGCATTTTCTAACTGTCCCTTTTACCCTCCTTTAGATGTGCAGTCATCACCGTGACCAGTAATGCTACCATGACCTTCAACTGTAACCACATGCAAGGACGCTACGTCAACATAATCAACCCTGGAGTAGGAAAAGATCTTCATCTGTGTGAGGTCAAAGTGTACACCACTACCCAACTTACAGGAGGTAATGCGTCACTAAACAATGGCATCCAAGCTTGATTAACTGATGGAGTGTTTCTTATGGGAACATCATGAAGTATACATTTACACAATTTGGTTAAGTATTGCTTCTATGGTTAAAGCACCGATTTCCACCTGATTGTTTTCATTAATTTTGTCATAACTGCCTTTATACCACTCTTGCCAGCTAATGTTGCACCAAGAGGAATAGCTACGCTGTCTTCAGCACCTGCTTCTACACAAACTTCTCAACATATGGCTATTGATGAACACCCTGGGCCGACGGATGCTCTGGAAACCTGTGCCTCCGTCGCACTGCAAGACAACCCGTGGTGGCAACTTGACCTGAGGAATATCTACCGCATAACTGCTGTGTCTATCCTCAGCTCAGGAGACTGCTGCTCGGAGCAGCTGAACGGGGCGGAGGTCCGCATCGGCCTCAGCAAGGACGTTACCAACCAGAGGTGATACAAGCACGAACAAAAGATACAGTAACTTACTTGCCGCATAGCATTAAAGATATTATACTGTTTTTCATCAATATACTATAGGTCTCAGATATATACAGAACATGTCTCTGAAGTGTTCTGCTCGAAATACCAAACAGATCATTGCAGCATTACCCATAATCCCCTCTGTTTCAGCCCTGTTTCCAAAGTGCTGATTCTCTGTCTGTTACTTTAGATGAAAATAAGGAGCCACTCCCCACGCCCCTCTGAGAGACATTTGGTTACAAAGAACACAATGGTGCTCTAGGAGGAGATTCAGGTGATAAGGTGGGGGGGGGGGGGTTACCTTGGTTGCTGATTGGCTAATGGTTACACAAGACAAAAAATTGGGCAAAATCTGATCAGCTCATTTTCAGACAGGTTTTTATAGAAATGGATCAGGACAAAAAGAGAGAGAATCTTTTTTCCTGAAACTTTCAGAATCTCTTTCCACAGAGGGGACAAATGTTGATGTAGAAGAGACATGAAGAAGAGGGGACACATGTTGATGTAGAGGAGACATGAAGAAGAGGGGACACATGTTGATGTAGAGGAGACATGAAGAAGAGGGGACACATGTTGATGTAGAGGAGACATGAAGAAGAGGGGACACATGTTGATGTAGAAGAAACATGAAGAAGAGGGGACACATATTGATGTAGAAGAGACATGAAGAAGAGGGGACACATGTTGATGTAGAAGAGACATGAAGAAGAGGGGACACATGTTGATGAAGAAGAGACATGAAGAAGAGGGGACACATGCTGATGTAGAAGAGACATGGAGAAGAGGGGACACATGTTGATGTAGAAAAGACGTGAATAAGTGGAATTTGCATAATAGGTGACCTTTATTCTCCCTTTTAACATCCTCCTTCTTTCAGGTGTGCCATCATCTTCGTTTCAGAGGGAGAGCAGAAATACAACTACCAATGTGGAATAATGGAAGGACGCTTCGTACATGTTTACCTTCCTGGTCTACAGAAGACTTTGACTCTTTGTGAAGTAGAGGTGTATGGTACTCTGCTTGGTAAGCTCCAAATGATAATGGCTGTTTAGACTTCTCCTAAATCTCCAGACTGCATTGTTTACTTGACATTAAACAGAAGCCTTTGTTATATTTCTTCCAGTAAAGAATGCTTTTCTTGGTTCTGTTTGACCCTCACTAGAAAACGTTGCTTTGAGAGGACTGGCTTTTCATTCTTCCTCAAGTCTGGAAAACAGTGTAGCCAGCAAAGTCATTGATGGCAATCAGTCTTCCACCTGCAGCGTAGCCATTGAGCAGCCAGGTCCGTGGGTAACAGTGGATCTACTGCTTCCTTACAGTGTGACTGCAGTCCAACTCGCCTACAGCTCCGACTGCTGCTTCAGGTACGATGTCCGTGTAGACGACACAAGGTGATATATAGTTGGACAATGTTGGAGGAATGCATAGCTCGACCTATTTCTCATAATTTGTCTCGTGGGTAGAACACTTTTTGAAATTATATAAATTAAGTTTAAAGGTAAATCAAGCAGAGTTTCATATACTTCTTCTTCTTTATCTTTTTCAGCTGTAAGGTCATCTCCAGTAATTCATATTCTTTGATGACCCTGGATTGCGGTGGGATTGTGGGTCGCTATGTGACTGTGATCCATCATGGCGTAGCACCGCCTCTGTGCGAGGTGGAGGTCTATAGCACTTTGGAAAATCTTCAAAACAGATTCCCTCAGCTGCCCCCGCCCCATGGTAAACATATAACGCTGTATTACAATCTCTTTACAATACAAACATCCAACCAGGATTGTAAGGCTCATACCATTTGCAGACGATACTGTCATCTATCAGTATCTTGTTAAAACCAAAGATCAAATCATCTACTGAATGAAAATGTAAAATGTTACTCCAACAAAGACTTTTGGATTGGGCTGTATGAAGACGTTGCTACCTGGAGGTGGTCTCTGTCAGGTTATTATGGAGCGAGTGAAGCTGAGTTCAGGAACTGGGGTGCTGGTGAACCCAATCTGGAGAGGGCCACCCAGGACTGTGCAGGCATACAACACACGGGAGAATGGAGAGACCTGCAATGTGACTTACTTAACTTCTTCCTATGCTTTGATGGTAATATGAAGGAAAATATTATGCACACATCAACATTTATTCAAAGCTAATGCTCTTTTATTCCAGGAACGAGTAGGTTTTCGTTGTGTTTCGGTGCATCATGATTCTTTCTGTGTTCACAGGCAGAACAGGTGCACTCAAAAGCAAGATTCTCCTGGAAACAGCTATGAATTGGGCCGACGCTCACAGCTACTGTAGGAAACACCACACAGACCTGCTCAGTGTGAGAAACCAGGCGGAGAACCAGGAAGTCCAGAGCATGGTGCCGGAAAGAAAGCTGGCCTGGATCGGCCTCTTTCAAGACTCCTGGAAGTGGTCGGACGGGAGTTACTCCTCGTTCAGATACTTGTCTCAGGAACAACTCCTTTTAGGAGAGGGTCCCAACTGCGCTCATGTTTCCGACAAGAAATGGAACGCCAGGTCCTGCGACACCAAATCTATGTTTCTCTGCTACAGTAAGTGCTACAGGGGGTCAGACAATAAATCATTTTGTTTTTGGCACTTTTTAATAGCGGGTAGCTGGCTCCTCCATCAGAACTTTTTCATTTTTCAAAATAACAAACATTAATCCTAGGGCTTAGGGTTATTTAGAGAGTCTGAAAAACACAAAAATAGTGCGTATTTAGAGAGTCTAAACAAAACTAAAATGGTTGCGACAGATAACCCACTAGTACAGTTTTTTTTAAATGAAAGGATTTGGTGCACCATAAATATTAAATTCAATTCATTAAAAATATAATTGTTTGATTAACTGATGATGAAAAATAATAACATAGTTTGTATCCCCACTCACATTGTTGACATGCATTATTGTTTACCTTGATTATGTTTATTTAATACATGTATATAGAGTATATGGATTTGATGTAAAGTGCCAGGTACCCAGCTATTTGTTAATATATTTGAAATGCACACGTTTGTTTCTGTGATAAATAGGGATGGGTATCGTTAGGATTTTATCGATACCGATACCGGTACTGCTTATAGGTATCGGTATTTTTCGATACTCTTATCGATACTTTTCAATAATTTGGTGCTCAAAATTATAGACATGAATACAAGATGTGAAGATTAAACAGTCATTTTATTGTAATTTTCTTGCAGGAATAACTGTATAACTTATACATTAGCTTCTCAGAAGCAGACACAAATAAATAAATAACTTAAAGGGGCCTGGCTCGCCCTATCATGCTTGTTGGGGTTTTCCCTCAGACAGAGGATGAAAAGAGGCATTTGTTTTGCGCACCCAGACCTTCGATCGCTTCGCTCTGTCCGCCATGCCTGCGGGAGTCTCACAACAATAATAAGAGCGCTGTTGAGAGAGATGACGAGTGGCATTTACAGTGGCCAATCAGAGGGGTCTCAAACAGGATACATCACACAAGATGAAGGTTCCCAACCAACCAGAATGGTTTAAAGTAAAACTAAGGAAGTAGACGTAACAGATATAGGGTGGCGAAGTCCCTCCCCTTCCGGTGGACCTCCATGGGACCTTGGCCCTTTCTAATTTCTCTAACTCCCTCCTCGACTCCTATCCTCGAGACTTAGTCCCGCCCACAGGAGATGCGAACGGAGGAGTCGAGGAGGGGAACCGAGGAGAGAGGAGGGGAAGCAGCAGGCGGTTAGAGAAATGAGAACTCCTCTCCTCTGAGCGGTCATTTTAAAGAGACGTCCATCAATGATGACAGGAGGCACAGCAGCCCTCTGTCTGATGGACAGATGTGTTCATGACGACTTATATATTTACTTTTAATTCATTCACAGTGCGGTATAATGAGACAATAACAGGCTACAGATGTGGACACACACATACACATATATATTTATATAAATATATACCATTTCAGAATCAAACAGAGCACTCTCATAATAACGTAACACTATCAGCGACTGGATATATCCCCCCCTCTCTGGTCGCTACAATGAGGGAAATAAATATTACGGGCCAAAAGTTTTATTTACAAGTATTAAAAGTAAGCAGAGGACACCAAACCAACTGAGACCTGTCTGTCCGCTGCATCTGCACACACTGTACCACACACACCTACACACTGTACAACACACACACATACACACTACCACACACACCTACAGCTCCTAAAGCATAATCAGGCTACAGCCGTTGTGTATTTTATTATGTGAAGCACTAAATGGTCTTAGAAAAATATCAACTCTTTGTTTGTAGATATCTACTAAACTAAAGCAAATAAAGAGAATAATGTTGTTCTGTTATACTGAGTGATATATATTATACACACGGCTCTGCTTTCTGCACGGACCTCACAGCTGTTCTCACTGTAAACATCGCGTTGCGATGAGAGCAGTTAATAAAATAATATCCAGGGGATGCATGCAGAGCTGTCATTGGCTGAGATAAGTCCGGCCGTGCGTCACGACTCTTTGAAACATCTCTGTTCCCGGAAATGCATCCACGAAGGAGCCGTGGAGAACCGTGGAGGACCCATCAGTGTATCCTCGGTTATAGCTGAGCCTCCTCGACGCTCGATCCTCGAAGTGCATTTAGAGAAATGAGATGTCCTTCAACATGGCGCGCTAAAATTCATTTCCGGGTCACTACCGGAGGAGTCGAGGAGTCGAGGAGGGGGATTTGATGAAATGAGAAAGGGCCCTTATTTCGAAAAAATTATGTATTGAAGTCAATGGAGAGAGAAAGATTATCTTTCGATCCCGTTTGAATTGTGCCACAAATTACACATATGATGTTTGTCAATTTAAAAGATAATTTTGCAAGTCAAAAAAAATAAAATGTGTCGTAAAACTGTGAAGTAACACATTTGTTTGTGTGAAACGCTCAATGAACTACATCTCCGGTCTAGCAGAACAACACACGTCACCAAGATGGCCGTCACTACTGTCTTGTCAACAAAACGATTGACTACCCTCACTATCACCACAATGAACTCTTCAGAGGGTTCACGAAATATGACTACTACTCTTACTGTTTAACATGTTGGGTTACTTAATGTTACTTCATGTTAAGGCTAATCAAAATGACACGGCTGTAATGCTAACCAACGTGCTAGCTACTAGCTAGGTAGCTAACTTGATCCAGCCACTCCTGGTCCTTTCATCAGACGGGAAGCGAAAGAACAAGCAAGACCCATTGCTGGTATGATAATAACCTGGTACTAAGCACACAGGCATCTTGTTAAAGTTATCTTATCTTAGCCAGTGCCATATAGATCGATTCTATCTATATGGCGCTGATCTTATATCTCTTAGTGGAGGAAAACAATTGTGACATCACTTACGCGACTTTGGGATTTGTAGTCTTTATAGTTGCATATTTTTCATAGTCTTATATTTCAACAGTTTTACGACAAACTGTGACTTTTTTGACATGGAAATTATTTTTTAAGATTGACAAACATCATATGTGTAATTCATGGCACAATTCAAACGGGATCGAAAGATACGTTTTCTCTTTCCATTGACTTCGATACATTATTTTTTCGAAATAAGGTCCCATGGACCGGAAGTAGATGGGCGTGACTTCGCCACTCTATACCGATAGCAGCACCGTTTGTCCAGCGGCTTACCGGTATACCGATACCGTCCAATCAGGTACCGGTATTGACTTAGTACCGGTTCTCGATACCCATCCCTAGGGATAAACCTGAACCATTGTCTGCCTTGGATGGATACAATTCATCTTAAAGTCACTTAATTAAAGTCAATTTACTAGAACAATGAACAAATACTAGGGCTTCTAAAATCATAAAATTCAATAACATTACCACTATTTTCCAGCGTTTAAGAAGAAGACGTTTGTGAGGATCAGTGCTGACTTTGACATAAGTGACCCAGCCGTTCAACAACAAATCGTGATCCAGGTGAGAATAATACATCTTGTTTCATATTTGCATTTATAACAGTTTACTCCCGTAGTTATTAACAATATATAAGAACTTTAGCGTATGAGTGGCTGGATTTCAAGTTGGGACAAATGTAACTCCTGGTATTTGTGTATGTTTCTTAGCTGGAGGCAAAGATGAGAGACATGGGAATCACTGATTTCAAGATCAACTGGAAGATGTCCGGACAACAAAAACAACCATGACAACCTCCCATTGAATTAACTTGTTTAGTTGTACATGCTTGTTCACTTGTATACATTCTGCAATGTTTAAGTAACCCTCTCAGAGAGACATTTTATAAAAGTTGATGTCAAACTCAAATGTTAGTTGTGTGTAAGAATATACTATACTATAAGTCTAAAATAGACAGTGTCTAAGCAAGGTGTCATAACATTTTACATGTAACGTACTTTTTTTGGCAATTTAAGTTCAATATGTGAACAACATTATGATTTTTTAGTAATGAAATGTATCTAATTTCAGTTTGACTTGTGCATTTAGTGTCGGTTTTTAAATATAGATTTTATTTGTTTTTAATCCTCTTTCGTTTTCTGTGTAAGGAGCCTTTGTGAATAGCTGAGTTTAGAAATGTGCTGCAGGAGAGTTTGCCTGTTTACTGGCTTGTAAAAACTCCAATATAAAGCCCAAATATCTTGAAGTCATCCTCAATATAATTGACCTTTACATTTTGGGCCTTGTTTTTCAAGCCTTCTATTGACAGATAAATATGTAAAGGGGGAGTAGTTGAAAAAATGTGAACTTATTTGTGTACTTGCGTAAATAAATGCAGTACCTTAAACCTCTTTGTTTTGATTTACTCAATGTAACTGGAAGAAAAGCATTGTATATTAGTTGCTTTTTGCCATGTACTGTTAAATTAAGAAGTTAATTGTCACAAAATGAAAGAGATAAGCTAGCCTGTTTTTGCATTTCAAAATGATGCATGACTAATATGGTTAATACTTGATTATTTAAGATGCATTTTGAGATCAGACATATGTATAATTTGCCCCTTCAAATGTTTCTAATACTTATTGTGAATAAAAATAAACACATTTAAAAAGAGGAATGAAAAAGCCCATTTTGTTAAAATAAATATTTTCCGAGTAATGCTCGCACATCAGACAACAGAGAGTTAAAGGGGCCTTAATGCTCTAATTTTCAGGTGTATATCAGTATGTAGTGTCTCTACTTTAAAGAGTCCTCTCCTGCTGATGTTCAGGTGTATATCAGTATGTAGTGTCTCTACTTTAAAGAGTCCTCTCCTGCTGATGTTCAGGTGTATATCAGTATGTACAGTATTTGTATTAAAATACAAATATTCAGGACGCTCTGATCAGGGTACCCTGATGTTATGGTGTATTATAAACAATAAAAACAAAGTCAATTTATTGTGGAAAAAACTGATTCAACGTTACATAGAAACCGAACTGACATTCTCAAATTAAAAAATTATAAAAAAACAAGTTAAGTAGAGTTATACAATGTTCTATCTACATTATCTTTTGTTTAATACTTTGGTGTGTGGTAGAAGAACAAAAAATAATCAAAGCAAGATTTCAGCCTCTCCTTTCTAAAATCGTTGCTGGTTCTTCATTTATACCACCGTCTAAGTCCGTTTTTTGTTATTCTCAGCGTTCTCTTCAAGCCCACCTCGATGTTTGTAGGAAGTCCTTTTTCTATCAGTAGATTGCGAAACTGACAAAGCACAAAGAATTTAATTTAGCAATAATTATTCGAACAATGGATAATTACACTGATTAATTTATGGATAAAAAACCTAAATAAAGTCAACATTAACTTACAAACTGAATGGGGATTGGCATTCTTTGTTATTTACCTGCACTTGCACCAGCTTGTTGATGTCGTCTTCACTCAGCTGTGACGTAGAGGTGAATTTGACTCTGATGTTGATGATATGTTTGCCTGTGAACACACATGTATTAAAACACACAATTACAAAGTATTAGCAAGACTTATGCTTAGCTGTGAGAACCTATAAAGGTTTTTGAAGGGTTGTTTAAGGGAATAAAGTTGACTTGGCACAAACTTTGTCAAAAATGAATAGAACAATAACATTACATTTTAGCATAAAAACTAGAAATTGTCAAATTAGGTAAAGAGACTCATTGAAGAGTTGTGGATGTGAGGTTTTCTCTTATCATGACAACATTCAGAATTAGCAGGCATACTTAATGTTCTCTCACCATTAAGGGATGTTGTTTGCAACGACTGTAAAGTTGAAAGCTGCTCAGGAGAAGTACTCTCTGTACTGGTTGAGTGTACCTTGATGGTGGTTATCTGACTTGGAGTCGCTGTGGTGGTAGAGAAAAATAGTTGTTATGAGTTTATTCTTTTTTCAAATATTTATATTGGATGGTTCCGATTTGAACCGCATCAATAACACTGAAAACGTATTCAGTTACTTGAAATGGTTCTCGTTTGTTCCACTCCTTTAGTTGAGGGCTGCTCAAATGTGGTCATCTCAGTAGTGACTAGATCTGTGGTGGATTGCATAGTTGTGGTTCTTATATTTGTAGTCACTGTTTGGCTGGTGGAAAGAGGGGTTCGGTCTGCAAATTGAAAGCATGGACTCATTTTATATGTTGTGTTGGATGAGCAAAGATTAGTGCATGTTATTCACAAGGTATGACCACTACCACCGATTACATGAAAGTGAAGTAACTTATTTAACCTCACTCTGACCCAACTGACATGCTTCCATTGATTTTACTCATGTCTCTCACCAGGAAGGGATGTTGTTTGCCCCAGAGTTGAAAGCTGCTCAGGAGAAGTTCTCTCTGTACTGGTTGAGTGTACCTTCATGGTGGTTATTTGACTTGACTTGTGGTGGGAAACAAAAATAGTTGTTTTGAGTTTCACCTGCAAAAGGGAAATAGGTATTCACAGGGGAAATGTAATTTCAATTGGCAAGAAATAAGAATGATCTAACTCACTGGATACGGTTTTTGTTTGAACCACTTCTTTGGTTGAAGGAAGCTCAGATGAGATGATATTTGTACTGGAGTTTCATCTGCAATATATTTCATAAATAATAAAATAACAGACAGATGTTGCTTCGAACAGTTTGTATAAGAAGCTCTTATTTTAGGAGAAATGTTGCTGTGTAAATGTTTGGAAATGTGTTCTTCTGAGGGTTACATATTGTATCAAGGGATTCTCTCCATTAATGGTTTCTTTAGGAAAACAATAACCACTGAACCACAAGCAAAGGTCGCGTTCAGCAAAACTTAGTTAAACACTCACCATGTAGTTCATAGCAGAAAAAAGGGAGCCTTCTGCTGCAGAGTTCATCGGACCACAGGCCATTGTTGCCCAGATCAGTTGCAATACAGTTCGGACTTCGCCCATCATTATCAGGCTGTCCTGTTTTCCAGTAGCGGAAGGTGGAGCCACTTTTATCCGACCATTCCCGTGTCCTTCACAGAGAAACAAAGACTTGTCACGGAATATTCTAGGGTCCTGTATTGTATTTTACTTAAAGGTCCCCTATTATACTGTTTTTCATCAATATATCACAGGTCTCAGATATATACAAAACATGTCTCTGGTTGGCTGAAACACCAAACAGATCATTGCAGCATTACCCATAATCCCCTCTGTTTCAGCCCTGTTTCCAAAGTGCTGATTCTCTGTCTGTTACTTTAGATGAAAATAAGGAGCCCCTCCCCACGCCCCTCTGAGAGACATTTGGTTACAAAGAACTCAATGGTACTCTAGGAGGAGATTCAGGTGATAAGGGGGGGAGGGGGTTACCTTGGTTGGTGATTGGCTAATGGCTACACAAGACAAAACATCGTTATGACATCATAAAGTGGCCAAAATCTGATCAGCTCATTTTCAGACAGGTTTTTATAGAAATGGATCAAAAAGAGAGAATCTTTGTTCCTGAAACTTTCAGAGTCTCTTTCCACAGAGGGGACACATGTTGATGTAGAAGAGACATGAAGAAGAGGGGACACATGTTGATGTGGAAGAGACATGAAGAAGAGGGGACACATGTTGATGTAGAAGAGACATGAAGAAGAGGGGACACATGTTGATGTAGAAGAGACATGAAGAAGAGGGGACACATGTTGATGTAGAAGAGACATGAAGAAGAGGGGACACATGTTGATGTAGAAGAGACATGAAGAAGAGGGGACACAAGTTGATGTAGAAGAGACATGAAGAAGAGGGGACACATGTTGATGTAGAAGAGACATGAAGAAGAGGGGACACATATTGATGTAGAAGAGACATGAAGAAGAGGGGACACATGTTGATGTAGAAGAGACATGAAGAAGAGGGGACACATATTGATGTAGAGGAGACATGAAGAAGAGGGGACACATGATGATGTAGAAGAGACATGGAGAAGAGGGGACACATGTTGATGTAGAAGAGACATGAAGAAGAGGGGACACATATTGATGTAGAGGAGACATGAAGAAGAGGGGACACATGTTGATGTAGACACATGTTGATGTAGAAGAGACATGGAGAAGAGGGGACACATGTTGATGTAGAAGAGACATGAAGAAGAGGGGACACATGTTGATGTAGAAGAGACATGGAGAAGTGGATTTTGCACAATAGGCGAGTTGTTTTCTACGTTGTGTTACCTGGAATAGGCGCGACCTTTTCCCGAGCGACCCACAGGAAATCTCCCACGTTGAGCTTCCTCACATCGAACGTCACTCCGTTCCTCTGCAGCTCTTTGACCAGATCCAGCTTGCAGTTTTTGCTTCCGCTTCACAAACACACCGACCGTTCAGGAAACACACACACACACACGTTTGATTCACACAGTTTAAAACACACAGCGGTCTTACCCCGTTGTCTCAATGAAGTCCACACAGAGGATGATCTCGTAGGAGCCGGGAAGGAGACTCCAGGAATTTGGGTTTCTGCTCGGTACATTTTGGGGTTTCCCTGAAAAGAACATCCCAGGAACGAGAACCCTCGGCTGGGAAGCAGAGGAGGTCGGCCTCTCTGCAGGTCTGGAAAAAGACGGTTCAATTGCTTTTATTGTATTGACAAACAGTTCAACAACACAAGTGCAATCATAAAACATAATGGAGATATTTCGGTCTTAAATATATATTACTTACACATCTACAATTGGAGAGTTCATCAGAAACATTACAAGCTAAAACACACAAAGGAAAGTCTACGTATTTTCGTATATTAAAGTAGAAAGCACCGTATTTTTCTGTATTTACTTTTTACATGTATATAGTTGACCTATTTTTGCTTTTTACTTGCACCGTTCTATATATTTTTGGACTATATTTATTCCTTTTTATGTCGTAAGTTGTTGGAGGAGGCTGGGACTTAAGATTGTCAGAACCAAGACCACGTTATCTTGAATCTTGAATGTTTAAATGGTCTCTAAACACTTAGTCTATACAACATATGACAAAAGGAAAATAAAGGTACGACTTAAATGCATTTCAGAGTAGAGTTACTTGTTGAGATAATGATACGTTTTTGTCCCAGAAGTTTTGAAGCACACTCACTGTATTCTCTCCTCTTCCTTCTCCTCTTCGTCATCATCACTAACAGTGAGGTCCACAATCCCCGGGCCACCTTCTTCTCCCTCCTCCTGCTCGTTTCCTTCACTCCTGGCCTCCTCTCTGTCTCCTTCTGGACCTTTAGTTCCCTCTAAAGACTCGAGGCGCTCCCCTAAAGCCAGACCCTCTTCTGTCAGAGAATACCTGAAGAGGGAGGAAGAGTGAACTCCATTTAAACGAAAGAGAAGCCCCCGTTTCCACTTCAAAACACTTTGAATCTGAAATCGTACAGAAATAATGTGTGTGTCAATCAATCGTGCGTGTGTGTGTGTGTTTCCTCTGTACCTTGCAGGGTTGTGGGTCTTCATCATCAGGTTCTTCTGGATCAGAGTGCTCACTGAAGACCAGGCCGTGTACTTACTGCCCAGATCTGGCTACAGACACATAAAAGTTAACTGAATTAAAATACAAATATTCAGGACGCTCTGATCAGGGTACCCTGTGCCGTCATATCAGTCAATAAATGGCCAATAAAAAATTGTTCTCAAGCTAATTTTGTACCAAAAACATTAATATTTCATACCTACAGACTCAACATTTTTTTTGAATAAAGAGTATTATTAGGAAGTATTTTCAATTGGAGTATTTTCTCTGCTTTTGACGACAATTTTTGAGTAATAATAATGGTTTATTGTTAACAGGACATCCCAACACAAGTCCCTTTTTATTTATTAGTTTCAGAACATCGGTGTGTTCATTTTCACTGCGCTGGGGGAGCAGTTTGACGCTCTGAAGGCAGAGGGACATGTCGCGAGGCGCAAGTGTGCCTACCTCGAAAAAGCAGTGAGGGTTCTTAATGAGAAGATCGAAAATAACGTTACCGTAGAGGCGATGTTCCAGGGACTAATCCAGACAAACAAGGAATTGGAGCGTGAACGACAGATCCTCGAGGAACAGATGTTTGACAAGCTAGATGAGCTGGATAGCATCGATGCTATCAAAGCTGAGCATGAAGCTGCACTATGTGGACAGAGAGAGCTCGAAGCACAGATTAAAGAGGTGCGTTCATCGATCCAAAGCTATTCTGCTGCAGAGGAAACGCTCGATGCATTGAGAAGTGACGCAGAGGAAACCATCAGAGTAAATGATGGCCTTGAGGAAGAACTTCAGTATCTCAAACAAAGGAAAGAGCAACTTCAGGATCGTTTCCAAGTGTCTAAGGCAGAGATAGAGATGGTTATCCAGAAGAACCAGGCTCTGCAGCAGGAAGTGGGCGATCTCTGCAGGGAGCTTGAAAATGAAAGCATGGTGCAGTTTGAGATAGACGAAATGAACCGGTCGAAATATGAGGAAATGAGCCAAACCGAAGACTTGCAAGAAGAGATCTTTGAGCTTTCAAGGAGGCTTCTGGGTTTAGAGGATCTTCTGGGGTCATACAACATTGCGAAGGAAGAAAAAGAGTTGATTTTCCAGCAAATGCAATTGTTGCAACAAAAGAAAGTCGAGTTGTGCCAAGAACTTGAGAACGAGGACACCATTATGGAAAGTTGCGACGCAATGGTGACAGAAAAAGCCGCCATGAGCCTCGAACATGTCTCCCTGCGAGAAGAAGTGTTGCAGCTCAAGGAAAGGCATCTGCGTTTCATGGAGCTCGAGGACTCTTACAAGGAGGCGAAAGCTGAGAGAGAGGACGTTACGAGGAAGAACGAGGCTTTGATTAAAAAGATCCAGGGTTTGAGCAATGAGGTTCACAAGGAAAAGCATCTCATGATCAAGTACAAGGCTTTGAAGGCATCCAACGAGACCTTGAGGTGTGATAGGGCCGCCATGTCGAAGGATCTCGTGGATCTTAACCTACAGATTGGTGTTTTGAGGAAGGGTCGTTCTCAGAACAAAACCGTGCAGGAAAAGATAAACGACCTGCAGTCTATGTGTGATGAGCCGCTGAGGGAAAGAAACACAGCGGTTCAGAATCCAAACGGCGATCAGGACCGAATGAACGGCTTGAATGTGAACAACGTCACCGTTGACAATGACTTCCTTGAACACATGAAAACGGTTCAGGAGCCAGGAGATAAAAGCCACTAACTTATCCGTGGCATAACGGGTTTTCTCCGGGGGCACCGGGTTTTTCCCAAAATGTACGATTTAAAAAAAACAAACATTAGTAAGATGTCTTAGCATGACATCAGGGGGCTTAGATATTCTTCCAGCAAGCTACAATTACAACGAGATAAATACCACGGGTTAAAGTTCATTAACTTGTCCGTGGCATAGCGGGATTTCTCTGGGAGCGCCGGGTTTTCCCAAATGTACGATTTAAAAAAAAAAAAAACATTATTAACATGGATCTTTTTTTTATTATTACATGTTACTTGTTAGACGCTTTTATCCAAAGCGACTTACATACTCAATACTGTGGCTCCCACAGGAGCAATTTGGGGTGAAGAGTCTCAGGGACACAACGACATGCTGACTGCAGTGGGGTTTGAACCTGTGACCCCCTGACCCCAACACCTAGGCACTAACCCACTACGCCACACGCCTCCATCTTAATCTAGAGCTTGGCGTTTTGAAGAAGGGTCGGTCTCATGTGGTGACATTCGATCACTTGGATGGTTTGAAAGCGGAAAATGACCTCCAGCTAAATAATCTGGATGATGTCAACGAAGAGATTTAGGTTCAACGGTGACTTTTAAACATTATTAAGATTGTCTTAGCATGGCATCAAGGGGCTACACATGTTTTTACCAGCAAGCTACAACCTTACATTCATAATGTCAGCGGAGGGAGGGGGGCGGCGCTGCGGAACAGCAGAGTGGCGAGGGAGAGCTGTCGTCTTCCCTTTACAAGCTTCAAACATGTATTTATCGTGTGATTTTGGAAATAAAAGTTTCATATTCTGAAAGCCAACACTTTGTTTATTTAAAATCAAGCAAAACACCCGAACCCCGAAAAACTTTTTTTTTTACGCAAATCCACGTTTATTTTGAAATGAGACTTTGCGCCTTCCGACTGATTTCGATAGAGCAGAGGCCTGTACTACGAAGCCGGTTCAACCTAACCTGGATATGTTTGAGTTAGCCGGTTGGCCTAATCCAAAACATAGGCGCTCTCGCTAAACTGTACTACGACGCGGGTTATCAAGTGGATTGCTCAAGCCAGCCGTTTCCTATCTAGTTAGGTGTTCACATGAAAGGGGTGGTATCTGGAGCATTCGACCAATCACAAACATGGAGAAGCGTACTGACAGCGCAGCGTCATACTTCCTGAATGAAAAGTCAACTTTAATATTAGACATATGAAGAAGTTAAACTTTAAACATCCATGACTTAAACACTTTATCCAGGATAAAAGCCACATAGCTGCACCTGCAAGGTGAATACAGCTGGTAACAGAACAAGTGTTTGAATGCGTACATTAACAGGTTTATGATATCACTGCCCCGTCTAAAACACGATCTGACTTTAATTACATTTGACTCGAGTGTTTCGTCAACTTAATGTGTTGCTTAAAATAATACTTCTGCATACAGTATGTGACACTGTGAGTGTTGCACGGCCAGATACGGCTCAGCTGACTCAGATAAGAAAATATGATACATTATGAAGTGATATGCCGCGGACTGTACTTAATGTTACTCTGATCCGTTATGTCGTGGCAGATATTTAAGTAAGCTTTCTTAACGCCAATGTTATAATAGTCAGATTATTCTGAAGATAGGAGGTGATATTCTATTAATGTTCACGTTCACACAGTCGGTGATTTTTGCCGGCCGTCTTTCCTGTGACGGCAGCTTTTCTGTATTTCCTTTCTCCTGTAATATGACTTGATCGCTTTAAACTCTGCACACTGAGCTCTGATTGGTCAGCAGGCAGTGCTTTCACTGAGTTGATCTCTTAGCCTGCAACCTAACCTGCTCCGGAGCAGGTTAACCGCTCAGCATAAGTTACCATGGAGATCTAGCCCGCTAAAAAGAGAACCAGCGTCGTAGGACCGGAAAGCCGGAGTTTTCCCTGAAGTTAGCCTGCTAAGCGAAAATCCTGCTTCGTAGTATACCCCCCGGGTCACAAATGATTTTCTGTGAGAAAAACAATATAAAAAGAAATAAGTAATAACATAATAAGTCTATTGTGATATTGGCATAGAATACCTTACTGCACATATATGACTAATATTAGCCATGTGAGGTCGGCCCAGACCCTAGGGGTTTTTAAATCTACACTAAAGACTCACTTCTTCTCTCTGGCCTTCTAGTCTGAGCGGAGCACGACTCCTGACATTTCCCTGTGTGTTGTAAGGGAAACTTCTGCAGCAATGGAAAGTCAGGACTCAGAGACACGAGGAGAGTTGGAGCTTTGATGTCAAACACGGATCTTTAATACAAGCATCGGCCGGAGAAATTCACATCACAAGTCACACAGTCAAAGGTTCTGACTGCACGGGTGGGTTGCCATGTCAAATCTGATCCGCCTCGCATCTTGGTAGACCTTTTAACTAGTATACAGAGAGTCAATTGGGGGACGGTACGTGAACACCTGGGAACAATGGAGATGTCTCTGACATCCGTGGTGCTTAGAAGCCCGCGTTCTCACAGTCGTAAAACCCCCCCTGTGCCCGCCAGGTCAGGCCATAAAACCTGGTAGTATCAACATACGACTCCATTATCACATTCCTTACGGGAGATTGGAAGCAGGGATGGTCGTAAATGTCAACACACAGAATAGGTGTGATTTTTTTATTTGTGCTGTTGTTAAGTGTTTTTATTGTAAAGTGTTTTTATTGTAAAGTATTTTGATTGTATGTACAGCACTTTGACCAAAAATCGTTTTGAAAATGTGCTATATAAATAAAACTTGATTTGATTTAAATAGTTCATTATTCTGTGTCATAATAATGCTTCGTGGTCATTTCAGAGTGTCTACCCGTGTTAAACTGTTACAGCCCACACGCAATGATCCAATACTTCTACATATTGGTGTTTAATAATGTCAAAATAAATAAAAGGAGGTAAAAGACTGACAGTTATGCACCAGAACATCTCGATTAGTGCCGTCGTCATTTTAAGTTAAGTTGCTACGCCACTATTTTATCTTAGCGAACACACACACACACACACTAGAGGGAGTTTCTTAAAGTAACTAACAGGGCTTTTCTCCTTTCTTGCAGTTGAGCGTTTAGGTGACCCAACGCAGCACCTTTGAATGAGCTCAGCCACACACACAGATATGGTGCCAACACATTCAACTTTTTATGAAGCCACACACACACACACACACACACACACACAGAGAGAGAGAGAGAGAGAGAGAGAGAGAGAGAGAGAGAGAGATTTTCAAATATATGAAATCATGTTTAAAATCATTAGAAGAAGAGACATGGAGAAGAGGGGACACGTGTTGATGTAGAAGAGACATGAAGAAGAGGGGACACA